CAGCAGCAACTTTTTTGATTTGTCCCCTCCAAAATAAAACAATCCAATAATACTATATATAGACAAGCTTTGAACAAGAGTTGAGTCCTAAACTCTACCGAAAAAACACATTCCTCCAACTAAATTAATGTGGATCGATCAATTTCATCTATATTTACCAGAGGAGAAAAGTATAATTTAATTAGGCTATTTGAATTGTGACTCATTTATAAATTTTACCGGTTTTAACACTAATCCAATCCGCTAATTTAACCCCTCACATCAGAGCCAGAGGCGGCTGGTAAGGCTTAAAAAAAAGTCTTTTGTCCTAGGCCCCCAATTTTAGGGGGCTCCATTTTTTAGCTAATTAGGTAGGATCAAATTAAAAAAATATATATTAGAACTAAGACAATAAATGCAAAGGCCCCATTTTTTAATTAATTAGGAAGGATTAAATTAAAAAAAAAAATTGTTAGAACCAAGACAATAAATGCAAAACGGCTCAATGAAGAGATAGTATGATAGATATGACTATGACTTTTTGACTTTTCAATAAAAAGTTGTGTACTTTTTTTTTTTTAATGTACAAGTTATCTTTTTTTTTACCTTATTTTTTTTCTAATTTTATTTTTATATATTATATCCTCCTCCCTTCTATTTCTTCTCACTTTCTTTTTTCTAATCTTACATCTCCCTCTTATTCAAAGCTTAAAAATTTACTCGTTCTATTAATAGTTTATATTTTAAATTTGGAGAAAACTATATTGTAGCAGTCCGATTCATTTTGGGAAATCAAGTCTTCATAGCTTTTGAATTCGGTAATATCATTCTAATTTCTAATATTATTTTTGTTTTGTGTCTTATGTTTATTATATTTTTTATTTGATATTGTAAATAGTGTTTTAAAATATTTGTTAGATTTTGATGTCGCTATAGATCAATTAAGAGGTTTAGTTTCTTTTTTTAAAACATATAGAGAAGAAGGATTTACAAGTACTATGATTTCGGCTAAGAAAATTGCATTAGAGATGAATATAGAACCTGTATTTCGTAAGAACCGTGTAATTTATAGAAAAAAATAATTTGATGAGAATGTTGATAATGAAATCACAAGATCTCTTGAAGAATCATTTAGAGTTGATTACTTCTTATACATAGTAGACAAAGCCATCTTTTCACTTCAAAATAGATTTGAACAATTTGAAGTATATGAAAATATTTTTGGTTTTCTATTTAGTGGGAAAAAATTGAGATCATTAGATGATGAGAATTTGAAAAAATATTGTCTTAAACTTGAATGTTCCTTAAAACATAATACTCACTCCGATATTGACGGTTTAGACTTATTTTCTGAATTAAAAGTGTTAAGGGAAATCATAAAAGCAGAAGACAATACTCTAATTGAGATACTCAATCAAATAAAAAGACTTGATTCTTTTCCAAATGCTTACATTGCTTATAGAATAATGTTAACAATTCCCGTAACAGTCGCCTCAGTCGAAAGAAGTTCTTCAAAATTAAAAATAATAAAATATTATTTAAGATCGATAATGTCTCAAGAAAGATTAAGTGGTTTGGCTATATTATCGATTGAAAAAGAATTATTAGAAGAGATTGACTACACAAAAATTATTAGCAACTTTGCATCTCAAAAAGCTAGAAAAATAGATTTAAAATAAAAATATTTATAATTTTTTTTTAAGGCCTCTAATTTGATTTGGCCTTAGGCCACCAACGGGTTTGAGCCGCCCCTGATCAGAGCACGAAACTTATGTAAATTTATCCTATCTAGTTTACTAATATGGTACACTACTTATAGACTTCAATTGTATATGTTGTGTATAAGTATATATATATATATATATAATATGTTTAGTATATGTATATGTGATATAAAATATACACTATCTATACATTGTATACAGATTTTGTAAACTAGACAGTCAAAGGTATTCAAACGTAATTTTCCCAATTCTAAGTCATAAAACATGCAATCCAATACCTCCCTTCAATAATTGGGCTCTGTATGGCCCATTATGTCTTAGAGTCAGCCTTTGATGGATTTGGGCTTATATGAGCTAAGTTGGGCCGGAGACACCCACTGATTGGGCTGAAACTGAGGTTCAGTAAGCTGGACAGTAAGAAACATAAAAGTGCGCGTTTTCTCCTTCAAATAGGTTAGTCTTTAATTTTTGCTCTTTATCAATCGAATTTATGCTCCACAAGCCATTAGGTTTTTAGAAATTGAAGTTATGTCCAAACATAGCTTGTGTGATGTTATAATACGGAAATACAAACTTATTCCCCACAAAAATATTATTTGTTTTGAGAAGTATAAATTAAAGATCAAAACAAAATTGCGACAAAAGTGCAAATAATCCAAAAAGAAGATCATTTCCTAAGTAGCTATCCGGAAGGGGTAAAAGGACGAAAATTTCTACTAAAACTTTTTTTTTTATAGCGGTGGTGTCTGTGCCAACTTCGTGCACCTTGACTAATACCACATGATATCACCTAGTATTTTTCATCAACTTGAGACCTCAGTATTCTCAACCACTTTATTGATCACTAGGCCACACCTTCTGCTAAGAAATTCACTGTTTGGCCCATCAAGCCCATTGTTTTGAAAAGATTTTCAGATTAAATTGCTTTAATAATCAGAACGGTTTAGTGTATTAACCTGATATTTATTCTAAAATATACCAATTTATCGTAGTTAAGTGAAAAGTTGAGGTTCAACTTGCACTAATTAATTAATTATCATTAAATAAACAAACCTAACGTTACTATTTTTGATAGTACTAATCATTAATCTTGCTCCTACATGACAAAAAAGTAGTTTTCTTAATAATTAGCAACAAAACAAGCTTAATCTTCCCTTTCTTTTCTTGTATAATAATTTATTAAGTAATTAATTTTAAGAGAAGAAGCACTTTCTCTCAGTGATTTCTCAATTCTTAAAGTTCAAACATAAAATTCTCCTTTTTCTGTCACTTATAATGATTGAGAACTTTTAACTTAATACTTTTTTTTTATCTTTGTTACTCCATGTGATAATATTAGATAGGTTCGAAATTTAAGAAAATGTTTTTCTTCTTTAAAATAAAATTATGATCTAAAATAATTTATAAATACTTATATGACTATAAAATAATATTATAAATCATAAAATGAGAACTTAAAGATAATTTTAAAAAATATTAGAATATTTTAAAATAATTAACTAATTAAAAAGAAAAATATATCACGAGAAAGGACTACAAGACTTATAAATATTTATCTATCAAATATTTATATTAAATTAATACATTTTATTATAAATAAATATTACATTGCGTCCATAAATTAATTTAATACAACTTATTATAGTTAAGTATTACATTGCGTCCATAAATTAGTTTGACAGTAAACATTAGATTCCAATAAATTTGTTTCAAGAAGACTTGTCGTTTTGAAATCAAAATGCCACTTCCACTTTTTGCTTTTATTATTGTCGTTTTCTACTTTCACTTTAAACCTTTTTTTCCCTTTTTATTTGTGATAAATGGGGAATAATTAAATGAGGTCTCCAACTCACCATTCAAGTCAACCTAGTAAGTGAACAACTTTAAAAAAAAAAAAATCACATGGGGAAATATCATACTATTTAAATTACTCCAAGAAATCTTCAAGATTAGTTTAGTTGAACTAATAGTCATATTAAAATAATTAAGTAACGCCCACGATGATGTTAATTAATTAAGAACTGATCATTTTATGATTACATTAATTGAACGATCTTGACTTTTGATGCTCAAGTATATTGTTACTCTCTTTTATTCTTATTTTTCATGAAAATTTTTGTTGAATTCAATTCTATGATGTGGAGGGCTGGAGGTAAATCTATAATAGTTACGACTTATGATATGATGAGTCATTGTTTATTAAAAATTCTCATGAAATGAATGTATTTTTTTTGTCCACATCGTATATATTCTTTAAGCAAATGTAAAGTGTTTTTTCTATGCAAACCCTAGCCGTCATATTATGATGGAAAAACAATCTATTTAATTTCCATCACTCTTAATAACGTATTTATACATGTAGAATTTCAAATGAGAATAAATTAATAGGCAAAACGAGCTAATTAGCACCATTCATAAATATTCACAGCCAAAATTATTTCTAACATTGAGAAACCAGAGTTAGAATTTGATTTTAGATTTTTCCATGAAATCTAGCTTGTCCACTAACTCAATACAATCACAGACAATGTTCCTAACCATAGTGCACGAATCACGATGATATAATATTGTATATTAGTTAATTAAGTTCAATAATTTGATTGGCACAATTAGCTAAGAATAGCAAATACAGCTCATGTTCCTAATCCAACTTGTTAAAAGAAATGTGACGTTTAACCGTCGAAGGTTAGGGTAGAGTGATAAATTCAATTTCATCATTAATTAGAAATTTTGTATTTGTGTTTTAGTATAAAAGAGTAATTTACCAGAATGAAGAGAATGATCTTAAACTTTTGAACTCGTTTGTTGATTTTATGGGCAAAATAACCTTGAGGGAGAAGGGATGAAATCGTTTATGGAAAATAATGAAATGAGGTGAAAAAAGAGTAATTAGGATTTAGGGATTTAGTCTATGTGGCAGTGAAAAAAAGAGTAATTAGTTTTGGCATGCAATGTGACATTCACATGACATTTAACAACTTTCGTTAATAAGAGGATACTTTTGATCCAATAATTTGACAGGAAGGGTAGTTTTGAGCCGAAATATAGTTTAAGGGTAAATATGAGCTATTTCGAATAGTTTAAGGGTATTTTTGATCATTTTCCATAAAAATAAAAAGGTTTCAACAATTATTATCTGAATTTTTAAAGTGAAACTTATTCGATGACGATTAAAGAAAGTGTTATCCACTCATAGTACCCCACATCCCTCACCTGCTCCAAATGCAACCACCACCTACCCATCCCTAAATAAATAAACCCTCAAATTCACAAAATAATTTAGACATTTATAGCTACTTTAATACAAATAAAACAATAGAAGTCTATATTCTTTTTACTTTCTGAAGAACTTTGCTCTATTTGTCCAATGGGAGAACCTCAAGTAGAAAATCAGCTCAACATTTCTTGTAAGCTTATTTTCTCAGTACACTTTATAGTCTTCATCTTTTTTCTGCTTTACCAATTCTTTAAACTAATTACCATTTCCTACTAATTCATATAGTTGAAGAGGAAGTAAATATGGCGAATAATTCAACTTCATGGCGTGAAAAATACAAGAGATGGATTGAAATAGGGTTCAATGCCGTATTGATTCTAGTTTGTTTATCAGCTGCAACACTCCTCGGCGAACTTTACTACAGGGAAGGTGGAAAAAGCACTTGGATGAATTCACTTGTCCAAATGGTTGGATTTCCGATACTTTTCCCTATTCTCCTCTTGAAGAAGAGGGAAGAAAACAGAGACGACGAAGAACATATGCACAAGAATACTATTAATAGTAATAATAAAAATCCATCCGTTTGGATGTTTTTATCCGTCTACGTTTTTCTCGGATTACTGTTAGGCGGAAGCTGTATTTTGAATGCAGTCGGACTATTACACCTCCCCGTTTCAACTTTTTCATTGATTTCCGCTAGCCAATTGGGATTCAATGCCCTGTTTTCCTTCTTCCTCAATTCCCAAAAAATAACAACTTATATAGCTAATTCCATTATCCTACTCACAATATCCTCAATTCTCCTTGTCTTCCAACCCGACGATTCCTCATCAAACGATTCATCGAAAGGGAAAGGCTACGTTTTAATCGGATTCATCTGCACTCTCTTCGGTTCAGCAGGGTACGCGTTGCTGTTATCAGCAACAGAGCGAATTTTCAGAAATGTAATGAAAAAACGCACATTGAAAGAGGTGATGAGCGTTGTGATCTGGCAATCTTTTTTTGCCACCTGTGCGATTCTGATTGGCCTATTCGCGAGCGGCGAATGGAGATGGATTAAAACAGAGATGAATGAATACAAGCTTGGGGAAGTGTCATATGTAATGACATTAGTGTGGAATGCATTAGCTTGGCAGATTTACACAATTGGTTTACTAAGTTTGATTATGAAAGTATCTGCATTATTTGCTAATGTGATTACTGCATTAAGTGTGCCACTAATTCCAGTTCTTGCTCTCATTTTTTTCAATGAGAAAATGAGTGGAGTGAAAGTAATTTCAATGATTTTGGCAATTTGGGGATTTTTATCATATGGTTATCAGCAGTATCTTGATGAAGTTAAGCTCAAAACTGAGTTATCAAAGGCAAAAGAAGAAGCTCAAGTATCACTTGTTGAAACAGGATTGAATCATAGAGCTAATTAATATTAATTGTACAAGTGTGTAAATTTATGGATACTTTCTTAATTTGTTTCATATAATTATTATCTACTTCTAAGTTAATGTTACAAGGCTAGAGCTTTTGTTTTTGTTCTTCAACGTACAAATAGTTTTTTGTTTCATGTTTTATTATGATTAAGTTAATTGGATTAAAAATGACACTTTAACGTATGCCTAGAAATTAAATAAGGAATTAGCGATGGACAAAATTTCATACTAATCTTATTTAGCTACGAATAATAATGAATTTTAATAAATTCAATTAGCTATGAATTTTTTAGCAATAAACTATTAGCTAGAACCAGGGGCGGCTGGTAAACTTTGAAAAAAAGACTTTGGCCTTAGGCCCCCAAGTTTAGGGGGCCTCATTTTTTGGTTTCTTAGGTAGGATTAAACTAAAAAAAAATAAATAGAACTAAGACTTTAAATTCAAACGAAATTAATGAGATGACTTGATATGACTATTATTTTTTACCTTTTCAATGTGTACTTTTTTAATTGTACAAGTTATCTTTTTTTTTTTATCTTATTTTTTTTCTAATTTATTTTTATATATTCTATCCTTCTCTCTTCCTCTCTTCTATTTCTTCTCTCTTTTTCTTTTCTAATCTTACATCTCTCTTAATCAAAACTTAAGAATTTACTTGTTCTATTGATAATTTCAATTTTCAAAAAATATAGTTTATGTTTTAGATTTGAACAATTTGAAGTATTTGAAAATATTTTTGGTTTTCTGTTTAGTGGGAAAAAATTGAGATCATTAGATGATGAGAATTCAAAAAAATATTGTCTTAATCTTGAATGTTCCTTAAAACATAATACTCACTCCGATATTAACGGTTTAGACTTATTTTCTGAATTAAAAGTGTTAAGGAAAATCATACAAGTAGAAGGCAATACTCTAATTGAGATACTTAATCAAATAAAGTACTTGATTCTTTTCCAAATGCTTACATTGCTTATAGAATAATGTTAACAATTCCTGCAACAGTCGCTTCAGCAGAAAAAAGTTTTTCAAAATTAAAAATAATAAAATCTAATTTAAGATCAACAATGTCTCAAGAAAGATTAAGTGGTTTGACTATATTATCGATTGAAAAAGAATTATTAGAAGAGATTGACTACACAAAAATTATAAATAACTTTGTATCTCAAAAAGTTACAAAAATAGATTTGAAATAAAAACATATATAATTTTTTAATTTTTTTTAAGGCCTCTAGTTTGATTTTGGCCTTAGGCCACCAACGGATTTGAGCCGCCCCTGGCTAGAACCACCGACAATTTGTGATTAATTTAATGTTTTCTAGGATTGAAATTTTGTCCGGAGAAGGAGAAGTCTAATAGAATGAAGATTTCAATCAACACTAATCACGATTAGTTCATTTTAAAAGTGACTGCTTGTGACCCTATCAGATCAATTACATTAATTAATTAAAGTTTATGTAAATATCCAATAGGGTTACGTTTAGGCATACCTTACCCCCTTCCTAATATAATGCAATTAACAAATCAATCCACCAACATGAATTGTGGTGTAGTGGTGAAACTGCTTCACTCTTAATCAGAGATTTCAAGTTCGAGCTCTATGTATGAAAAAATTCTTGTTAGATCTGAATTTAGTGAGGACTTTAAAAAAAAAAAAAACAAGTCAATGCATTACCCACCTATAATGTTTGGGCATGCCTGCCTGTTAGGATGAGATTTAGAGCTACTTTCAAGTTCTTTTAATTATTTTTTCCGAGTGTTTGGTAAAATTTAACTTAATTTTAAAGTGTTTTTAAGCCCAAAGCAATAAATTACAATTGTCCAGCTTATTGTTCTTGGCATATTTTTAGCTTAATAACAACTATTTATGCTTTGATACTTTTTAAAAAATCATAAATAATCAATTTTATTCAATAAAATCACTAAGCATTTAAAATTTACAAGCTACTTTTCAACAAATCCAAACTGATTCATTCTTTGTTTAAAAAAGAATGACCTAGTTTGAATTGATTACAAAATTTAAGAAAAAATAAACTTCAATTTTGTAATTCTAAATTAAAATTATACCAAATGTATCAAAATGTTCTTTAATCACATAGCCTTAAAACACCATGTGAAAAATTAAAATCCTTTTTTTTTTAAAACAAATTAAAAAAGAAATAAGTCATTCTTTTACGACGAAGGAAGTATTGAATTATTAAATGATGGAAGGTGGATCCTTGTCATAGATATTTCAGTAGACCTAACGTAGGGACCAGTAAAATATTTTTAAACGAATTTTTGAGAAGCATGTTTTGCATGACATCGAGTTAGGCACTTGGACATACGTACTAAACCTTTTATTTTTACTTTTAATGGATCCAAACTGTCATGACTCATGATTGCAATGCGAAGCACTTATTTTATACGTATAAAATTTAATTTGACTTTAATTGATATCTATATTCTTAAAATTTTAAATGTGCATAAATAAATACTTATTATTGTATTAAATTAAATAGATAAGCACACACATCTTACATGACATATTCAAATCAATTTAAGCATATTGAACACGAATTGAAACATATATAAAAGTCCAAATTATTATGAAAAATCATATTCTTTTTATTTCTGAAGCTAAGATACAAAATATGAAAAATCATAATATACTAATTGAGTTATTCCTTCTGTTTCAATTCACATGACAAAGCTCATACGTTGTGTATGAAATCGATCGACGTGCATTTGATCTCTTTTCAATAAATTGAACACCTTTTAGAAAAGAAAAAAAAGAAAAAGTTTTAACTTAGTGGATTTTACTTCACCTAAAAGAAATAATGAACTTGCTTTCAGTTAGAAAAAGATTCTTGCACATATTTTTCACCTAATTACTGAAAACATTTGTTTATGGAGAATCTCCTTTCTGGCATCATAGTTGTACTAAAAATTTAAAAATTTGGTTTGAAATTTGTCCTTTGTCCACTATACCAAATCATCTTATTTTTCAAATAGGATAAATATTTGTTAATTTTAAAAAAATATTATTAGAAAAAGAATGTGTTAAAAAGAAAATAAATAATATATTTATTTGGAAATGAATATTTTTAACTCATTTAATAACAATAAGGACATTTTTGAACCAACGTATTGTCAAATATATTTTTCTTCATTTCACATAGTTTAAGGATATTTTGACTGTTTTCCTTATTTTTAATGGAAAAAGGTCATATTTAATTTATTTTTATATTATCAAAAATAGTTTAAATAATCCCACCTTAAAATAAATATAGTGAGGGTTGGAGTTCTCCTGCTCTAATACCATGTTGAATTGTGTGATCATCACATCTAAAAACTTAAGCTATTAGAAAAAAAACACTATTATTAGTTAATGATATTCTTCACAAACTCATCCTAAATGAAGCTTTAAATTAACATCAATAATAGAATATTGTCAAAGTTTTTTTCTTTTTTGACCATTTCAATAACACTTGTATTCAGCTAAGTTGATGATTCTCGACATTCGAACACACATGATACTTTAAAAATCTCAACAACTTGGAATTTTGATGAGTCAATAATGAAGAACTTCAATTATTTTAATCTCATCTTCGAATTCGAAGAACCCAAATTGAATCCAACTCAATAATATAGTATGCAAGAAAAAATCTCAGCAAAAAAAAATTTTCAATACTTATTTAATTTACATCAACTTCCAATCACAAAATTCGAATATATATTGCAACTTCTCTACCCAACGTGTATTCTAATTTTATTTCATTTATTCAAATTGACAGAATTTCAAGCACCACATCAATTGAACTTTTTAAAAAAATTAGAATAGAATTTGGACAATAAACTCAAACAAGAAAACACGTAGCAAAGAAGATGAAAAGAAAAAAATAATGGGTCTAGGTCGAGTCGGCTCAAACGGGCGTATTTCTAAAAGGAGAAAAATTGGCTATTCAAAATTGAGGGTGGATCATTTGATTCTGATCTTGATATATGTCTTTCCGTAAAAAATTAAGGATCAAATTGTACCAAGTATAACACTAGATATATATTTAGATCGAAAATATAAGAAGTTAGGTCTATTTTGATCGAAAATATAATAAAAACTATATTTAAATTATTTTAAATAGTACAACGTATATTTGACCCTTTTTCATATTTTTAAAATGGCATCTTTTAGAGATGTATGTAATGTAATAATAAAATGTGAAACATTTTTGTATAGTCTTAAATATATACGTCATGTGGATTGTTTTAGATTTTAAAGAAGTACTAAATATAAAAAATAAAAAAGAAACTAATTAACCAGACACATAAATTAAAACGGTGAAATAATAATTTTGAGAGAATGGTGAGTGTGGGAGAGTGAGTAATGACAAAAAAAAAAAACATCACGTTATCAATTGTTTTACGTTGTATACCGTAATAAGTAATTCAAAATAGATGACTATGATTTTGTTATTAATTAAGAAAGAGTAATGATAATCGAATATAAAAATCTTGTGTTATAATTTGTTTCATTAAAAGGGAAAGGTCCATTCTTGTACGCTAATATTTGTTTCTTGCTAATTATATCAACCAAATCCGAGGGCAACTTTTATTTAATTCATAATTGACTAATTAACTTGACCATGACATTTTGCTGTAAATTTAATTTTGTTATAATATTTAGAAGGAAACTCAATTACTCCATTATGCTTCCTAAAATCTAATTAAGAACAAACTTTCTGCTCCATCGTTAGGCCTTTTATTTAAACTTATATAGAATGTATCCAAGTTAAGACCATTTTTTCAATTATCCAAGTTTAACACTTTGTGCAAAATTTAGTAAGTGGGGTACGTACTACGTATTACCTGCATGTGACAAGAATGATAAAAGCCCTTCAAAAATAGTCAAATTATTTTGATATTAATTTATTTCACTTATTTTTTGGGATCAAGATTTTTCCTAGGTGGATCTAAAAATATCAAAAAATAAACACACGAAGAAGTCAGATGCGAACCCAAAATTTAAAGATTTTA